CCTATGTGAGCTGCCACCTCAGCATGGCTACTGACAGGTGGTGTAGTTCCATGACCAGGAAGCAAACCTGGGTCGCTGAAGCAGAGTGCGCCAAACTTTAACTACTAGGCCATGAGGGCTGGCTCGCTGGTTCTTAATTTTTGATTCATGTGCTCTCTCCTCACCTGGGAAGGTGGTTAATGAGTTCCTCCAGGGCACCGACTGCTTCTCCTTCCTCACTGTGTTGCCACCAACACAAATTCAACTCAGAGCAAAGCACAGAGGACAGGCAGGACAGATGGCAGACTGAGGGACAAATGGACAATGCCCTCCATGACCAGGTCGCTACCTATCTCCATCCCTCCAGGACTCAAGACTGTGATCTAGCAACACCAAACAGCATCTCACAGCACTGATCACACTGTGTTGCCACGGTCTTCCTCATACTCCTTCATCGAGGGGAGGAATCATGCCTGGTCCGGTGTCCTCTGTGCCAAGCACAGGACACAGAATATGACAAGTGCTCAGTAACTTTTCATCAAATGAACAAATGAATCCTGGAGAGAAAGGGCAGGCAGTCTGAAGTCCAAGATTTATACCATCAGGCTTTCTTCATTGGAGAATGTTCAGGTTGATGAACAACCCCAAGTTAAGCACTCAGCAGACAGGCTCAGCTCCCTGCTGGGAGAGAGGAAATGGGTGGGGGTATTGTCTTTCACTCAAGTTTGCTCTGAAGGAAATGTGATCTCCACCAGGAGGACAGGAGGCCTTACTTCTCCCAGTCCTCAGAGTTCCTCACACGGCTCAGCCTGAGCCTGGACAGATGTGCCTTCAGTCTGCCCTGTGCCCTGGTTTCGGGTGAGTGATTCCTGATTCCAGACGCCAGGCTCGGCTTTAGGCTGCAGCCAGGAGTAGGGCCACCTGCTCATGCAACTGACAGGTGGAACAGGGGACCTCCACTCCCGAAGAACCAGAGTTGAATGTCCTAACAAGCTTTAAGTGCCTTGGGGGAGAAGGAAGGGAATGGGTGCCACATAGGGAGAGAGGAGCAGAGAAGGAAGGAAAGAAGAAGGGACCCAGGTCCCTCTGATATAGCCAATGGGAGTATGGAAATAGGATTCTGCCTGCTTCAGGTATGCTGAAAACTCAGTAAAAAGCAACTCTCCTCAAGTTCCACTGTGGTGGAGAACAGGGTAAGATATGTGGGGAATCAGACCTCGCCTGTGCCCTGGGGAAGCACACAATCCAGTGGTTGAAGGTGAAGGCTAGCTCACAACCTTCTTAATATAAAGAACAGAGGCTGGTGAGTGGCAGATCCTGCCCTGCCCCTAGAGCCAGGCAGGCCCACACCACACCTGGGGGGTTAGCTCCACATAAAACAGGTCAACGATGCCCACACATCAGGGTGGCTGCCCAGAGCTGCTGGCTTGATCATCTCATACTCTGTGAGGATTCCTGATCTGTCCCTGATTCCGTCAGCATGTGAACCTTGCTGGTCTTCCTGTTCATGGACAGACTGCTTCATTCAGCCCTGCTTCTTTCACCGGACCTTCCACTTCTCTTCTAGAAAAGGATTCCTCTCTTGCCACAGGCAGACAGGGCCCTTCCTGGATGAACCTCCTACCCTCCCAGACCAGAAGGGAGGTGCGGGACAAAGCAAGGGGAGACCATGCCCAGCTGGGAGGAGTCAAGGAAGCCTTCATAAGGGCCCTAGTGCTTGCGCTGAGCCTGGAAGGCTGGGAGGAATTAAGCAGAGGGTAATGAGCAGAGAGTACAGAGGGCAGTCTGTGTGGAGGGCACGTGCCCAGGACCCAGAAACTGCAGGTTACAGAGTGTCCTTAAAGAGGAGGATGAAGCACCTCCCCTCTGAGCAGAAGAGCCTCAGGCTGCTGCCCTGCACTATCCAGAGCTCTCCCAAGGCTCTAGGACTGCAGAGGGTAGGGGTCATCAAGGCAGACACACACAGCACAGAGCCTCAGAGAGGGGAAGTGGGAAGAAAGGGAGAGGACAATATTATTCACCAGGTCTGAGTTTTATTCCAAATACTGATATCACTGACCACACTGATCACATACATAATGACCCAACCATATATACACTATGTCTTAAGTTTTTTTTAAAAATTGAGAGCGGGGGGGCTGGCCCCGTGGCCGAAGAATATACAACTTTGTACCAGGGGGCTTTGGGGAGAAAAAGGAAAAAAAAATAAAATCTTTAAAAAAAAAAAAAAAATTGAGAGCGGGACTCTATCCTGCTATAGTCAGGTCTGCTGGGCAGAGCTAACGGCAAGGACACACAGAGAAAGAAATTAAGAGCAGCATGAAGCACTTGTGCAGAGTCTAGGGCACAGAAAGGCTGAATACGGACCTGCTGCAGAAATTCCAAAGTTTCCTTCTAGTGAGGATGGTCAGGCTCACCCCACCCCCACCAACTCTAGGCCTAGTTCTGTTAGCAGGAAGAACTGTAATTGATAGGTTACACATCTGTTTCCTTGAAACCAGAGCCTGGGTCACCCCTGCATCTCCAATGCCCAGCAGAGGCCCACTCATTCATTCATAAGCAGGAACTGTTTGGGGTGAGAAGGAGGGAAGGAAGGAAGGATGTCCTAATTCAGGCCTTCATCGCTTGAATCTTTTTTTTTTAAAGATTGGCACCTGAGCTAACAACTGTTGCCAATCTTCCTTCTTTCTTTTTTTTTCTGCTTTATCTTCCCAAACCCCCCGTACATAGTTGTATATCTCAGATGTAGGTCCTTCTAGTTGTGGCATGAGGGACACCGCCTCAACGTGGCCTGACGAGCAGTGCATGTCTGCGCCCAGGATCCGAACCGGCGAAACCCTGGGCCACCACAGCGGAGCACACGAACTTAACCACTGGCCACAGGGCTGGCCCGCTGAATGCGCCTTATTGAAACAGCCTGTTAACAGACCTGCCTTCAGCCTTTCCCCAGTTCAGTTCATCCTTCAACCTTCTGAATGACCTTAACTGGGTAATTCCCCTGCTCACAAACCTCCCATGTCTCCCCACTGCTTATAGGTTAATTCAAACTCCTTACTGCAGACATTCCAGGCCTTGCTCATTCCAGTTTCTCTCAAACCACCTTCCCTCTTTCCCCACACCCTGCAACCCTGCACCAGCCCCACCTCAGCAGCATCTGCATGTTCACTGGGCCCAGCAGCCAGCAGCAGCTCCTGCACCCTGCCTTTGCTCAGCTTGCTCCCTGATCTTTGCTTCTGGGGGAGTGGGGAGGAGCGCAGTGGGGAGATTGCCAAGCTGAAGGGTAAGGTCTATGCCTTGCTCATCTTTGACTCCCTCACAAGGGATAAAGGGAGATTCTGACTGAGTCATGACTAAGGGAGTTGGGACAAGAGGAGGCAGGGGAAAAGCAGGTCAGAGACTGGGGACACACAAGAAAGGCCCCTCGAGACTCTATCCTCACAGCCAAGAATAAATGTTCTGAGTCATACACACAACATAAATTCAATGACTTTCTGTATGCCGCACACAGGTGTTTAACTGCTATTAAAAAATGTGAATTTGAAAAAGCTAAAATAATCAACACTTGGTGGCTCAAGAGAACAGGGTAAACTCAGCCTGCCCGGGCGATGGAAAGGTGGACTCACAGCACTGCTGCTCTGCAAATGTGCTGCCCACGCTGGGCTGCAGGAGGAAAGCAGCAGCCCGCAGCCCTTAGCAGTTACCAACCGGTGAATCCAGGGTCAGCAAAGGCCTGCACGGAGGGGGCACAGCCTGTTTCTGCCCCCTCGCTCCCTTGTTCTGCAGCAGAAGGAAGTGAGGCTCATCTCCTTCTGGGGGAATGAAGACGCCATGCACAGCCTGCAGTTATAAATGGCTCTTATAACAACAAGCTGACATCTGTGCTTGGTTTTTAAGATGCATCATCACATGTTTATTAAACTATTGCTCCATCATATTTATTTGGCTAAGAAACAACTCCCAGCCCATACTTCCAAAAGTGGTTTATTAAAAACTAAGCCTTGAACATTAATACTCAAAAGCACCCTTGAGAATCAATAGTAATGCTGCAGATCAAATGAAAGGGAATCAAAGCAGTAAGTCTTGGTGGGGCCGTGGCTGCCTTTCTACACTTGCTTATACGTTCAGGCAGCTGAAGTGGGGAAGAACACCAAGGGTGTGTGGCACTGGGTGCAGGGATAGCCATTCCAAACACCTGACTTCCTGTCTAAAATGTGGATGTGGTGGCAGGGAAGGGAGGGTATCCTATGGCGAAGGGCCACAAAGGACAAGATTAGGCCCAGGGGGGCCACTAGTTTCACCAATAATAAAATCTCTGCCCCTCACCAACAGCCCATACTGATGTCCTATGCTGGCCCCCATCTGAGCATCCATCCTGGACACAGACTCTGTCCTGCCCCTGGCACCAGGCTAAGCCCCACACTGAGTCCAACCGCCACCCCAGAACAAGCCTCAAATCCAACCAGCCAGGGGCCAGAAGGGGCCCAGCTGAGCCAGGGAGGCTCAAGAAACACCGTCAGCCCCTGCGCAGGGGCCCACAGGCTGTGCACCCCAGCACTGCAGGAAGGTCTTTCTAGCCCCAGAACACCTGGCAGAAAGGTCTCTTCCAGCTGCCTTCCAAATCCTCAATCCTCTCCATGGGTGCCCACCTGCACCCCATCCAGGCAATAAGCAACAACACGTGGCCAGTGCCATAGAGAAAGAAGAGCAAATTGGAAGATTGAGTGAAGAACCCACAGAATGTGGAGGGACTCCAAACCACGCCCTGCGAAGAACATGACAGTGGAAAGATCCAGGGATGTTTGGGGTCAGAAAAGATATGGGGGCTGACTCTCTACCTTAAAATATCTAAGAGTTGACCTGAGCCACGGAGCCCAGGTGACTCAGTGACTACAGGGAAGTCAAGAGTTCAGCTCCCAGCTTAGCGTGAGGATTTCCTCCAAGGCAGTCATCACCAGAGAAAGGGGCGCACCCCATGGGGCCCTTCCTGTGCGGGAAGGAAGGGCCTGGGGTTCGACACTCACCTGCGGACTTCTTGGACATTGTTGGCGCGAGCAGCTTCCATCAGGGCTGCATCTGAAGAGAGAGGGGGCACTGGTCAGATCCCTGGCCAGGACCTACCCCTCAGGACTGCTTGGAGGGCCCAATAAGACAGCGGAAATGGAAGCACTTCAGAAACATGGGTTTATGGTGATGCCAAGGTATAAAAAGAGAAAGCTAATCATCCCCTGCCCAAGTGGTATCCACTGTTAACAACCTGTCTTCCACATCTTTCTACAGAGAGCCCAAACTCTTAACTCCTCTCATCATCCCGGGATCCAGAAGTGCTAGCACCATGTGGTACCCAGAGTAAACGCTCAGTGTGTGAATCCCTTCACTCTGCATTAGCTATGCAGCCCTGTATAATATGTTTATGTGACCATCACTGCTGTCACTAATCATTCCCCTACCTTGCTCCACTCTCCCAATTACAGTATCTCAGCCCAGTTTTGATTCTCGATGTCACAGGTCACAAACTCAGTGGGACAGACACAATGGGGAGGAGCAGGCTGGGGTGTGAGGCCCTGAGAGAGGAGACAGTCTCAACCAGGAGTCAGGAGACATGGGTCCAACACACCTGCCCCCTAATCACCATGTGCTGGGGCAGCCCTTTTCTGTCTCAACCCAGTTCTCTGACTATAAGGCAGAGGCAATAATCCTTGCCCTGCCAGCTTCACAAAGATGCTGAGATGAAATGACGGTTGAAAAATCTGCAAACTCCCCAGTGCCACGTCCAGCAAAGGCAGACTCAAAACAGAGGGTTCCAATCCCTTAGCAATCACCAGGCCTAGCAGAAAGGCAATGCTAAGTTTGGCCTGGGCAGCCTGCAGGCTATTGGCACCACCTTGTGGCCACAAAGAAAAACTGCCTGACTTAGAAAAAATCTCACACGTCAACAGCAGAGGCACAATTCTTTCAAATATGCAGTCCAATATGAAGTGCTCAGGGAGCACTCTGCGCTCAGCTGGTTCTGAACTCCATTGTTGGGCAGTGGACAGACTCACACCCAACCCTGCCTCAGGGAGCCCTCAGTTCAGCCAAGGGACACCCACTGAAACCTGGAACAGGGTGGAAACAAGAGGATCCAGACGCAGAAAGAACTGAAACATGGTGGAAACAACAGGATCTGGAGGCAGAAAGACCTGGGCTCCAGTCCCAACTCTGCCACTTACTTGCTGTATGACCTGGCCAACTCACCTAACCTCCTGAGCCTCAGTTTCCTTATCTGTACAAGAGGGATAAGATACCCACCTCGTTGTGCATATGCAAACCAGTTCTGTGGTTCAGATATACGCATATGCCTCCTGGCCTAGATTCCAGGGCCAGGTCTTTCTTGGTTATCTTCCTCGACTGTTCTCCAACCACACACCCAGGCATGCTTGGGCGGCCCCAAGCTGGAAGGGGAAGAAGCCTTACTCAGATATTGCTGTAGCCACTCTCCCCTCGCATTTCAGAAACAAGCGGCTTCTGCAAGGTCACAGACTGAGTGACGAATGAGCTGCAATCAAAACCAGGGCCTCCTGGCTCCTAAATCTACTACATTGTATCTACTACACTACACTGAGGGCCTCAGGTCACAACTCCAAGTCAGGGGACAGGTAGCCAGCCAGTCAGAAGGGTTGGAACTGGTCATGGTTGGGGTCATTATCTATTTTGGTAAACAGATCCTGGTCTCCTTGCTGGGGTTCACGGGCCACAAAGTCCAGTCCAGAGTCCCCAAGAACCTCGAAGGCAAGACCTTGGATGCCTTCCCCCAATCCACCTAAACACACTGGCCTCAGGACATTCCTGTTCACCAACTTTCCACGGCTCTCCACTGCCTACAGGAAAAATCCCAAACCCTCCAAACCCCTCTGCCTGACATCCAGATCCCACTCCACCTGCTCTCACCTCATTCCAAAGACCCCACCTGTCCTCCAACCAGGCTGGCCAGCCTGTTAGCCCCGGCATACACCAATGCTGACCTGCGACTCCCTTATCTTCATTCCCTGAAGCCTTTGCATGGAACACAATCCAACTTGAGACACATTTACTGAGACCTACTAAATTCCAGATACTATGGTGGACAAACAATGCGAAGGCATTAGGGAAAGGAGCTGGTATCAACCTGAAAAAGATAAGATGCATTCCCTGCTTTCATGGAGCTCACAGTGTCACTCTCCCTTTCATCTCTTACCCTATCCTTCAGAAGTCAAGTTCAAATTCCCCATCCTCCAGGGGTCTCCAATCTTCCGGGAAGACTTTCCTGACTGTGCTGGGCCTCTAATCCCCCAACAACAATACTCAGATCACTCACTAGACCCACAGGCCTAACTGCCTGCACTGACTCTTTAATTGACTTGTTAATTTAGGAGTTCCACATCTAGCCCAAACCAGGCACTCAGAGTGTATTCAAAAAAATGCTGAAAGTTACAGAACCATAGCTTGCCTAAGCTAGAAGAACCCTTAGTCTCTATTTCAACAGCCTTGTTTTGCAGATAAGGAAACAGAGGGCCCGTGAGGAGGAGTGAGAGTACAAAGTCATAATGGGAGTGAGAGGTAACCAAACAAGACCCCAGGTGCCCTCATTGCCAGTCCACGGCCCTTCCTTTATAGCTGGCCACATCCTGCTGAATAAACAAATGAATGTCACGGGAGTACCCCATCTTGTTCCAAAGTCTCAGAGCACGGAATCTATGAACACCGTATCTGAGTCTCCTCCCTTAGAGCCTGAGTGGCTGGACTCACAGAGGCCAGAAGTCTGGCTCTCTGCCCACTCTCCTAGTCCCTGCTCAGCTCTATGCACCCAGGTGAGATGCCGACCTGCGTCAGCCAGCACCCATGGCTGCTTTGGGTCTCTACTGAGCTAACTTCCTTCCGCCAACTGCCCTACATGGGACAATCATCTCACGTCTGAGACCAGGCACAGCAAATCCCTGGGAGACTGAGAGACAGACCCAAGCTGCTGAACTCCAAGAGAAGTCAGAATAACAGCACTGTAAGAGTACTGAGAAATCACCCTTCACTGAGTACGTGGGGAAACTGAAACCAGAGAGGAGCAAGGCATGAGCAGTGGCAAAGACAGCAGTGAAGCCAAGGTTCTTCTTCCTTTCTTAGGCCACCTCAGGGATGCAACTACTGTAAACCATCTGGTTGTTGCCCTTAAAACAGGCGGCAGTTTCCTGGAGACCTCTTAAAAGAGGAATTGGACCAGGCAGAATATTAGAGCATAAAAGAACCATGCCCTAATTTTAGATGTTTAGTCCCATGCTCCCATTGTACAGACAGACAAAGTGATGACCAAAACAGGGAGGCTGTCCTATGATGGGAAATGATACAATTCAGAGAGGCTGAGCACTCCTGTGCAACACCCTGCCCTGGGACCACATGATGTCTGGGGTCCCTCCAGGACTGAGGCTCTGGCAGTCTAAATCTATAAGCAACTCCCACCCTCCAAAGATATGAAGTCAGGATATTCCTCCCGCCTCTCCCTTCCTCGAACCCAGACTGTTCCGATAATCACCCTTGTTGGATGGGCTCTTGCTGTAACAGTGAACCACCAGCGCCGTGGCCAGGGCCCACATGCCCAGTCCTGCCCTGCTGGGAACACCATTCCAGCTGTCCTGTCCTGGGAGTGTTTCTTCGGGGATAGGAAGGCGTCCCCAGGTGGCGGCTGCGAGGCACTGGGTCTCGGTGCGTCCTCCCTGGCGCCCCCCGGTGGCTGCCCCTCCTCTGGTGAGTAAGGCCGGCGATGTTCCAGGGCGCCCCCCGACGGCCGCCCTCAGCCACTGCGGCTCCCCGCGGCCCCCGGTGGTTACACTCAGGCCGGAGGCACCTCCATGGCTCCGGAGCGATGAGGACCTAAGCAGCTGGAGGAGCCGCGGCGCCAGCGCTGTTCTTCGCAACACCGTGGAACCCAGCATCGTGACAGCTGCTTCGATTACCTCCTGATGCCGGCCCCTGTGCTGGCCACGTCCAACATGGCTGCCGCGGCGCGTTCGAAGACGCCGCGAAAGGGGTGGAATTACGCACTACCTCACGGGAGTGGTAGTCCGCAGCCCTAGATCTTCCCGCAGCTAGCGAACAAATAAACTACACTTCCCAGAAGGGTGTGGAACTCGTGTCACAATGACTGCCGACTTACAGGAGCCCAGGGCATGATGGGAAATGGAGTTCGGGCGGTGGGGGCGTGGTGAAAAGAAAAACCAAGGTGGGGCGTGGCGATTAGAGTTAAAGTTCGAATCCCAGAGCCTCTTTCCAAGTTTAGATAAAATATGCGATGCAATTTCTGACTAGTGTAAGTTAAACAAGGATCTTCAGAAGAGGCTTATTATGAAACTGATACTTATTTCTTTCAGCCTATTTCTCTTTTCAGCCTGGGACAGCTTTTCAAAAAGAAAGATGTCTAGGGTAACCGGTGCACCTGAAATAGGAATTCCTTTTATTTTCTTACACAGACTTCCTTTCTGTGTGACTGAATGTCACACAGCTGACTCCTGGTCTTGCTTTTTCACTTGTGTTATTTTCAAAGTGCTTTCACGTGGGCTGTGTCATCGCATCCTCATGGCAGCTCCGTGCGGGAAGCTGGGCAAGGTCCATTATTCTCGTCTATAGGGAAGGGAATTTAGGCTCACAGGTGAAAAGATTTCCCAATAAATCAATAAATAAAGCTCAGGTCTTCCAACTTCGAGCCCAACACCTGCACCCCCATCTCGCCCCCTGTTTTCCAGACTGAACCCACAGACAGACAAAGCAGGGAGCTCTTCTTTATGCCAGTCTTGTCTCTTATTCCTGCACTTCCTTTAGATCTCTGCTCCAACTTTACATTGCCAGAGCCTTCCCTGACGAGTTATTTTAAAAAGCAGTTTCCCTTCCCCCATCCCTCTCATCCTGCCTAATTTTTCTTCACAGCACTTACCCCTGACATACTAAATATTTATTTGTTTATTGTCTTTCTCCAGTAGAACGTGAGCCCCATAAGACAGAGACCTTGTTTTTTCACTTTTATATCACTAGCACCCAGAACAATGTCTGGAACAAAAAGCCTTGCTCAATAAATATTTGCTCAGTGAAAGGATTACCCCCACCTTATTAACATGGGGGAATGAATATAAGCTTCGGAGTGCAGGCAGACCTGGATTTCAATTTTGACTCTTTCATTTACTACATGTGTGACCTTGGACAAACTCCCTTATCTCTCTGATTGTTAATTTCCTCATTATTATAAAAAATAATAATACCTACCATTAAGATGATTGCTTGTGTTAAATGAGATAATATGTGGACCACCACCATCCCTGGCTCACAGTAGGTCTTCAAGAAATGGCAGCTATCATTGTATTCCCTGCTCTAGGGGTGGTTAGATTCTCTGCTCTTTTTTTTTTTTTTTTTTAAGATTGGTGCTTGAGCTGATATTTGTCGCCAATCTCTCTCTTTTTTTTTTTCCTTCTTCTCCCCAAAGCCCCCAAATACATAGTTTTATATTCTGGTTGTGAGTGCCTCTAGTTGTGCTATGTGGAACACCGCCTCAGCATGGCCTGATGAGTGGTGCCATGTTCGCACCGGGATCCGAACCGGTTAAACCGTGGGCCATGAAAGCAGAGTGCAAGAACTTAACCACTCAGCCACAGGGCTGGCCGCTACTCTTAACTTCTCGAGGGCAGAAGTGGAGTTTCTCATTTCCTCATCCCTTAGTAAGGCACTCAGCAAATAGCTGTTGAATGAAGGAACGAGTATTTTTAAAGTATTCAATAGCCAAAGCATTTTGACCTTCTTATTTTGAGAGATGCCCAGGACACCCTGTGTTGTCATCCACTCCATTCGCTATAGTAGCTTCACCCTCCCTGTATTCTTAGAATACTTCTGCCTCCCAGCTCAGGGTTGGTCACAGCAGGAGGAGCGGTCCCTGAGTTCCCACGACCAGGCGGGTCACAAGACAGAGGGCATCTGCTCGTGCTGAGCTCCAATGGTATTGCTGCAGACACTTCCCAGGGCCCTTTGGTTTACTTAGCACTACATGATTGCAGAGTACCCACTGATTCTCTCAATAATGTTGAGAGAATAATTGAGGGAACAAATAATATCCAGGAGGGGTGCAAGGCAGAGCTGAATCACCATCAGCATTTGGTAGGGAGTACCCAGAGGTTAAATGATCGATGTCTGGCTGAGTGGGAAGTAGTGGGGGAGCATGAGAACATCCACAAGAATCAGGCAGGACTCAGAGGGAATTCTAGGTTTTCAATAACCAATTCAAAAACCTCTGGGTCACATTGCTGACATTTTAAAAGTTCTTCCACTCAGGATGTCTTCCTTTGGGTCTTCGCAGAAAGTACGGATTTATGTCAGGTTCCAGGTACCCTACCTTGGCCCTGAGCATCTGGCTCTTGGGTTGGGGGACAGAGGACTCCAGCTTCATTTAGTTTGTAATGAGGTGACTGGGGATATTGGAGTGGGGTTTAGGAGGAGACAGAAAGTGAGGGATCAGTGCAGTTGCTGTGGTCACCTACCTCTGGAGTAGGGTTGGAGGCCGTTCTACAGGCTTCTGGGGAAAACACTTTTTCTGAAAAACAAAACAAAACAATACAATACCGCACGTTTTTAACAAATAAATAAACAGCAGAGAATGAGAGCTGGGATTTTCATTGTTGAAGAGAGGAGTTATAAATAAGGAAAGAGAGAAAGCTAAAATGAACCTTGTGGTATTGGATTGGAATTAGGGGTATCAGTAAAAAGTCATGGTTTTAAAATATATATACAGATAGATCAATGCAGAAATATAGACGTGTAAGTATGTATGGGTTAGGATATTTCATATACTACTGATCGTCATCGCCTGACAGGGTCTAGAAGCAATGACACTCCAAACACTGGATGCACTTAGGGCCCAGATCTAAACACTATTCTACCATAAACTTAACCAGTTCTCCTGGGAGAAATGGTCGCTTCCAGGACTGGGACAGGGAAAATACAAGAGGAGCCAGGAATATCCTGTGTGCTGGAAAGTAAGGAAAAGCTCAAAACCAGATTCAGTCTTGTCAAAAGAACACAGGAGCCAGTGGGAAGGAGTTCCTCATGACCAAAGCTGGAACAATTAAGCAAAAAATAATGATAGCTTGGAGTTTTTTTGATCCATTGGGTAAAACAAATATCCATTAGGCCATACTGATGTAAATAATCAAATAAATAAATAGCTTAATGGGGGAGAAGTAGGGAAAGAGACAGCTCTTCCTTACAGTAGAAATTGCATTAATAAATGTAGAAGGAAGAGGGAAATAGAGATCGCCATTAGGCAAATACCACAGTAATAAATATTTCAGACGAGATCCACAGGTGATGCTCAAATTAGTGGGTAAAAGTTTGAGGACAAACAGGATTTGTATAGTCCTGAATATCTCCTGTAAGATACTTATCAACTACAAAAACCTGATGGTGGAGAAACCAGGCGGACACCAACTTAACCAAGTGACCAAGGTAAACATCGCCAGGAACAAGACATGTAGACATCATGAAAACCTCGCTCCGATGCACCCAGAAGGACACAATATCATTTTTGTGGCATTCTCACCAAGCATACATAATTTCACTCCAATCATGAGAAAACATCAGACAAACCCAAATTTAGAGGCATTCTACAAATAACTGATCAATATTTATACTAGTTTTCTGTCGCCACATAACAAATCATCATAAATTTAGGAGATTAAAACAACACCCATATCTCACAGTTTCTGTGGGTCAGGAGTCCAGCACATTTTGACTGGGTCTTCTATTCAGAGTCTCACAAGCTGAAATCAAGGTGTTGGCCAGCTATATCTGCATTTGGAGCCTCAACTAGACAAAAGTACATTTCCAAGCTCTGCCAAGTTGTTGGCAGAAATAATTTCCCAGCAGCTGTAGATCTGAGGTCCCCATTGAGTAGCTGGTTGTTGGCAGGCAGGTACCTGTCAGCTCCTAGAAGCTGCTGTCAGGTCTTTGCCATGTGACCACCTTCTTAGACCCTCTTACGTTTGCAATCTTTCTCACTTCAGGAAGGGCCCTGTCATTTTTAAGGGTTCACCTGATTAGGTCAGGCCCGCCAGGTAATCTCTCTTTTGATAAATCAAAGTCAACTGATAAGTAATGTAATCACGAGAGTGATAGCTCATCATATTCACAGATTCTGCTTACACTCAAGGTGTGTACAAGTCATGTACACCCAGAGGTGGGAATCTTAGGGGTCATCTTAGAATTCTGCCTACTACGGTACTCTTCAAAAGTCTCAAGGTCATGAAAAATAAGGAAAGATTAAGGAGCTGCTACAGACTGGAGGAGATTAAGGAGAATTAAAACTAAGTACCTGTGTGATCACAGATAGGATCTTGGGACAGAAAAAGGACATTAGTGGAAAAATAGGTGAATTTCAAATAAATTCTATAGTTTAGTTAATAGTATTGTATAAATGTTGATTTCCTGTTCTTGATCACCGTACTATGGTACATAAGATGTTAACATTGGAAAAGTGAGGTGAGGGATATAAGGGAACTTTTTGTACTGTTTTTGTAGCCTTTCTGTAAGTCTAAAGTTAATTCGAAATAAAAAGTTTTTTTAAAAGGAAATATACTTTAATTTTTCCCTCAGAATCAGTTGGTAGATGGGATAGGTAGGGGAAGTAGAGAAGAAACTGACATGTGTTAAAAATATACTATTCACTTATTTATTAGTCCATCAACCAGATATTTATTGAGCATCTACTGGATACCAGATACCATGTTTGGTGATTTACTGGAGTCAACTCCTTGAGGGTGGGGTCCATATCTTATGCACTTATGTGTCCCAAGCACTTCACACATTGTCTGGCACACAGAAGTCATGTATATTCTTATTTAATTCTGACAATAACTATGAGTGGGAATTTGCACCCCCATTTTACAGATGGAGAAACTGAGATTCAGAGAGATGGAGTGACTTGCACATGTCACACAGCTAATGAGTGATGGCTCTAGGATGCCAGTCCTGGGCTGCATGATTCCAGAGCCTCCTTCCATCACATCATACTGCCTCTTTGTTTTGCATAGGTATTATTCAGTTCAGAGTGTTCTACAGTACTAATTAAAATACAAAATTTCCATGTTTTTTTAAAGGTAAAATTCGTGAGTTCTCAAAGAAATTTCATGCTTGCATGGATGCTGGTGTCTAGAGCCCCAGACCCTCTCACGGTATTCCAGTGGAAATCCTTAAGAAAAAATTTTTTCTAGAAATTATATAGTCGATTAACAGTAGCAAAAGACAAAATTAAAAAATAAGGTATTCCTTCAAATATCAGGAGTGATTGATAAATAGTCCATTCTGGTTAGTCTTCGTGAGTCAAAGATCTTTTTAAACATATTTAGCACTGTACCTCGGAGTTAATGCATAGGGTCTGAAGACATAGATTTCACCTCCTGTGGATCCTACTGGCTACTGCCAAACCACCAGCCTCATGCCCGCTCTCCACAGCTCTTCTTTGGAATAACTGAAATAAACTGATTTACTGGTAATAATAGCAACCAAATTTTATTAAGTATTTACTACGTTCCAGCCACTGTACTGAATAACCTACCCGCAACCATCTATTATTTATATAAAGGCTCAGATAAGTTTCCCCCTTGTTTGCTGGGCGTGTTTTTTCCTGTGATCGCTCTAGTCAGTGAAGGCACAATACCCCGACAGCATGTAAACCACATCTGAGAAATCTTGGAGAAACTTATCTAAGCATTTTACAAGAGTAGAAAAGGTTAATAGCTACTGAATGCTGAGTATTTATTCTGAGTCAGGCGCTGTGCTACTAAGCAGCTCACATGAACAAATTCACTTAATTCCTACATTAATCCTATGTGTTAGACACTATCTGTATTCCCGGGTTAGACTCAGAGCCCAAACTCTTTAGTCGTTACACAGCTTACTTTCCTGAGGAAAGACACTGTGTGTGTGTTGTGTCTATGTGTGTAGGGGTGTGTGTGAAAAATCTTCTGCATTATTTTTTCTCAAATACATTGCACACTTTCCTGTGTTAACAAATAGAAGACAGTGAATATAATTTACTCTTTCCCTGATGATCGAGGTTATTGCTATCGCAACAGATTTTTTCATACCATATTGTAAACCTAGAAATCCTGAGCGCTAACCCAAACCAAGCTCAGAAAATATTTTTGCTGAATAAATCTCTTATATCACCTCCTTTTCTTGTCGTCTATCTCTTTCCATTAGAATCGAAGTGTAACATGTGACCTCTGGGCAGAGTAACACGGCTACTTTTTACACTAAGGATGAGAATTTTGTCTATGATAAATCTGCCATTTTAGGTAAGTGAGGAAAAGACTAATTACTTAGTAAATGGTATTGGGACAACTGGGTGGCCAATTGGAAAAAAAGGAAATTGGATTTCTATCTTGCCCCTTCCACCAAAATAAATGTTTACTGAATGAAGAGATTTATTTATTTATTTTTTTAGATTTTTAAAATTTTTTTCCTTTTTCTCCCCAAAGCCCCCCGGTGCATAGTTGTATATTATTCGTTGTGGGTCCTTCTAGTTGTGGCATGTGGGACGCTGCCTCAGCGTGGTTTGATGAGCAGTGCCATGTCCACGCCCAGAATTCGAACCAAGGAAACTCTGAGCCGCCTGCAGCAGAGCGTGCGAACTTGACCCCTCGGCCGCGGGGCCAGCCCCTGAATGAAAAGATTTAAATGTGAAAAAAGAAACCATAAAATGCTAGAATAAAATATAAAATAACTTTAAAAAATAACTGTAGTAGGGGAGCTTTCTAGGCGTGACACAAAACTCAGAAACCACAATAGAAAAGATTGATATATTTGACTCTACAAAAAAGAGTTCTGATGGAAAAATACCATAAACGGTGAAAAATACAAATGACAATCTGGGGAAAAATATATTTGCACCACAGTGATGAATGGCTAAGTAGTACATACAACTCCTATAAAATATACCACAGACCTACAATACAAGAGATAGACAGACGAGGGAAGGCCTGCTGGCTTATATGCGTCTCTGTGTGGAGTGGAGAGCAGAGCGCCCCAGGGATGAATCAGGAAAAGGGGCCCCCATGCGGTGTGCATGGCTAGGTGCGCACCGTGCAGCAGGATTTCAGCTTTCACTCCGTGAACTGCACATCCAAACTTAGCAGCCTCGAACAAAGGACTTGACCGAATGGCTCATGAGGAAAAAACTGCAAATTATATTTAAACATATGAAAATATGCTCAACACCACCATGCACTATATGCAAAAATGATCTCAAGATGGATTATAAACCTAAATGGTAAAACCAAAACTCTAAAACTTCTAGAAGAACACATAGAGAAAATCTTTGTGAATCTGAGTAAGGAAAAGATTCCTTAGATAAAACGCCAAAAACATGTTCCATAAAAAAAAGATAAATTGGGCTTCAGCACAATTAAGAACTTTTGCTCCTCAAAAGCCACAGTTAAGAGAATGAGCAGACAAGGCACAGAAGCAGAGAAAATATTTGCAAATCATATAGCCAATAAAAGACTTGCACCAGCGTGTAGAAAGAACTCTCAAAAC